ATTACTATGTCAGAGGACAGAAAAGCACTTGCATGCTTATAAAGATTATAGCAGAAAACACTATTGAAGAACAGAACACAGTGTTTAGCACTGAACTTAAAACTGAGGTCTTTTCTTAATCTCATGAAGTTTAACTTCACAGGGCTGCTTACCTATCTACTAGACCTATAAGACCTACTACAATGGCCTTTCTAAAGCTAAAGAATACTTTTTCCATAGTAAATCTCCCATTTAAAGCTTTAATTTCCCACAGCATTCTCAACTCTTAGAAACTGATTTTTTTATTTCCTAAAATTCTGCATACACTTCTTTAGACATGGAATCTTTCTCTCTTTTTTTTAAGATACAGATCATAGAAAATTATTTAGTGATTCCTTATCTTTAACTTAATACCCGATTCCAGCGCTTAACACATTCAAGAAACAGTCCAAAATACTAAAATATAAAAGCCCCCTTCTAACAACAGTTACAGAAGAATTAATAATAAAGTGTTCCCTTTTTAAAGATCTTAATTCGCTCTTTAGCCTTTTATTGGCCTGCTTCATATTTGGGGAGCTAAGATCAAAGAAATGGAAATCTAGCAAAAAGCACCTTTAAAGATGCAGAATTCTATAATTTTCCCTTTTTTACCTTGTATTAATTCTTCTTATTCTTCCTAATAACTCTCCCCTGTTCTCCCCTCACTCTACCTTCACTCCATCCATATAAGGGACAAATTTACTGGTGGTTTTTTTTTTCTCTGTATTGAAAGGACTGGATGGTGCAGTCAGTAGGCTGCAGATTTTCAGAGAAATGCTTCCAAACTTCCTGTGCAATTCTGGAAAAGTTACCTGAGGCTCAAACAGCAAAGTAACCAGCAGTGCAATGAACTACTGGCTTGTGGTATCCTGAACTTTCACACATCTCTATCATTAGACGTGGACTTGCCAAAGATTGAAAAGGGGAGAGGCCTTCAGCTGGTTTTCCTTAAAGTGCTGACAATGCAGAAGAGCTCTAAAAGAAGAATGCATTAGCACTGGCTACATTTCTACTGCTGGCAAATACAGAATGGCTATGTAATTTTGATAATTCATCAGCAACTTGCCAAGGGTTGCAAACATCAAGTTTGGGGGTTTTGGGGGGGGGGGGGGGGTGTTTGGGGGTTTGTTTGTTTGTTTGTTAACAGAGCAACACAGAAGAAAACACACACTGCAATGCTGGCTTTACAAATACAGCCACCAACCTCTGAAGCAGGAAATGGATCTCCCACCAACAGCCTCTTTGAAAGATCGAAACTGAAGTGTTTCAGAGAAGACATCCCAAATCAATGGTACTAGTCTACACAATCCTCTTTACACAGGCTTTCTATTTCAAACAGGTAGGATAATATTACTCTGGGAAATAAAACATCAGTTTGTATTCTGACATTTACCTGTTTTCTTAAGATTTTGCAGCCCTAGAGTTCTTAGCATATAACTGCACATATGAAAGAGCTAGATGGCAGCGTTCCCTCCATTTAGTTTTAAAAACTTTTTTCATAAACAAATGTGTCAAATCTTGGATACGGATGTTGGGACAGGAGTGAGTGAATTCTTACAGAGAAAGAGAAATGATTAAAGCATAAACTTTAAAGAGGCTGCAGAGGAGGGGAGGTATCACATTCCCACCGACTAATTTAAAAGTTTGTCATCTCTTATAATGAAGGCCTGCTATTTACTCTAGCATACTGATGTTGCATAACTACATTTCCATTAATATGATGCATACCTTAGTGTGGTAAGTACTGTATTGACTAAAACTAGCCAAGTGTCATTGACTGAAAACTGACATGCTTCAGCACTTGTGACTCTAATGCATCTCTGAACAATAGTTTGACAATCAACAGCCTAAGAAATTTACCTGTAACTGCAAATCCAGCATCATTTTTAGTCTGAGGTATCGATTTTTCTTCTTCACACTAATAACAAGTTAAACCTGTGGTATGTTAAATCAGTCTTTACATAAGGCTAGTATTCCCTTCATGAAACTCAAATTCTGAATATTCTTCTTTAAGAAGTCTCATGTAAAGAGATTAAACACTGTAGCATCTACAAATTACAAAAGCTCCTGGAAATTTAATTATTAACTAGAGATTATTAATCCATTAAAGATGTTTCATGCACACATGCTACACTTGATGTTTGCACAGTTTTAAAGGTTGGCAGGAAGATCTAACAGAGTATTTCTTTAAAAAACAAACTCCTGATTCTTATCTAGTAGGCACATATTTGTGGTAGCTACCCCTTTATCCCAATAGAACAATATATTTTAATAAAAGTCATTGAGTCCCACAGCTTTGCCCCTTGTTAAGCACAAATGGCAGCAAAAAAAAAAAAACACCCTGAAAACATAACACTTCAGAAAGTCGAAAGAACTTTCAAAAGTAACATCTCTGAAAGCTTCTTGATCCTGAATTCTAGATTCCTTACAAAACAGAGTAAGAATCCCCCAAGTTCCAGAGGTTTTGGTATGTGTCCCCACCGAAAAAAGGGAAAAAATAAAAAAGTAATACCAGGCCCATCAGTCACATACCACTGTTGAAGGCTCCTAGACAGTACTTTGATGATTGTATCGCCTTCTTTTCCAAGCTCACATCTCTGTTCTGGCTCTTCAACTCAAGTACTTGCTCGCTAGTCTCATGGGTCTTTGGACACTACTGGACAACAGAAGATCACCAGGCAGCTGTGCTGCTTCATATATCTACAAATGTTGACACCTTTTTTCATTTCTTCTGCAGTTATTCCTTTTCTCACACCAAGATGTTTAGAAAAGTCCCCCTCAAAAAAACCTCAACTAAATCCCAAACATTTTAATCAACAACACAGCTGATAAGCATTAATAAACCCCCTCTTTTCTAAAAGACATGAGTTCATTAATTCCATACTGTCTTTCATATTAAAAACCCCAGGTATTTTACATACTTTTCCCTCTCATAGAGGGGTAGCTCTCCACAACCCTGTGCTTAACATAAAGTATCATTAAATGCAAGGGACTCCCAGGTTCCTGCCTTGATGCTTGATTTCATCATATTAGAGCTCAAATGTCTAAGGTGCAGAGCTTTCAGGTGCAACATATTTTAAAACTAGAGGGCAAGAGCTCCTGTCTCAAAGAACCTCCTGAGCTTTACTGTATAAAAACTTGATCCCATTAAGTCACATACTGAAAAACAGGTCAGAAATACCCTTAAAAACTGCTTCGAGTAAGTTTTCAATGAGGTGATTTCTGTGCTTAGTTCAAGGAGCAGAACTGGAAAAAAAAAAAAAAAAAGAAACTTAGCACCTACCATAGCACACCTGAAAGATGAAAATAAAACTACTGATGTTGTTAGTCACGGAAATGACTGCTTTGAAGCCTTTTTTAAAGTGTTAAAATACTGTACCAATATAAATACTAATAACATATCCCGACTCCAAAACATGCTACTCATCTCACCTCTGAGAAAACAGGGTGACAGAGAGGAACCCGGCAAGTTACATACTTTAAACATGAAAAGGCAGAAGAGATTATTTAATTTTACTAAATCTTCCAACAGTTTTCCAATAACCTTCAGTACAATGGGTTTCAAAAAGTATCCTAAAACACAAAGTTTCTTGGACACAAACCCAAAAAGTATCCTCATTTCTGTATTTTTCCACAAGAGGACACTAAAATAACAAGGAGAATAGTTGTACAAAAATGTACAACTACCACATACCATTCTTCTTCGTTAGCTAAGTAGAATATTTTTCACTTAAAAACTATTCTGTAGTGAAGTAGACATTAATGTATAATTACTTTTCTACTAACGCACATTTTAGTCATTCTAGTGATTATTATTTGGCTTTTAGTGTGCCTCAGGTGGCATGAAAAATAGATGTATTTAAGTTTGTTGTAGACAAAAATCAACAGTTAAGTGATACTACAAAACCAGTCTTGCATTTCAATTGAAACTGAACTATTAACCCTAAATTTACAGGGAAGCAAGCACATGCTTAACTTCGCAGTATGACTTCAAAGAACAACTTCTGGGCACCAAAGAGAGGGCCCGCATGTTAGTGGGATCAGGCCATGCTTATTCTTCCACTCCTGCTGCTGCTCTCCCAACCCCACAGCCAAGCGCAGGCAAGTCACATCCCGACGCGGGGACAAAAAAAGATAGTAAACAAACTGAAACCGCAGCCCGTGTCCCCTGCACCCCTTGGCTCTGACAAGGGCCCCTCACAGGCAGCAGAGCAGGGAAACGCTGTGGAGCAAAGCAGGCCGCCGTGGTGCGAGGGGCCGGCTGGCTCCCGGGCCTCCCGTTACCTCAGGACAGAGGCCCGGCACCCGAGCACACCACCGGCCCGGCTGCCGAGCCCCGCTCTGCCGAGCGGCTGAAGGCCCCCACGCCCACGGGAGGCCCTTAGGAGCTCTCTCCCGTACCTGCAGGACACGACCTCCGGACGCGCTACCTCCCCACGTACCTAGTGCAACTCGCTTTTAGTCACTTGCTACTCTCTCCCCGCGCCTGCTGCAACCCCAGGGGCACCGCGGCGCGGAGGGGACGCCCCGCCACGGCTGAGGCGAGGAGACCAACAGCGGCGGCAGGCCCGCCCCGCGCCCGGCCTGCCCTGCCCTGAGGCCCGTGCCGGCCTCCCCACCGACAGCGTTTCCCGCCGCTGTCCTCTGGGCCGGGGTAACGTGAGAGGGAACTGGCGACAGCCGAACGCCATTTACGGCCCCCGACCGCGGGGTGCGGCAGTGGGAAGGAGGGAGGCAGGGACGACTGGGCGGGACGGGCCGGCGCGGCGCGGCTCGGCTCTGCCCTGCCCTGCCCCGGCCGCCTGCGGGGGTTACGCGTTGCGTCTCCGACACCCCTCCTCGTACTTCGCCGACGACTGCGCACCAGCCGTCGGGGCGAAAGGGAGGAGGGCGGCAGGGCCCGGCCGGCTCTCGCGAGAGCGGCGCCGGCGGCCATTTTCCTCATTGATTGGCGGTGGCGGAGGGGGCGGGAGCTGTGGCGCTGCCCTCGGCGGCTGGGGCTGGGGCGGCGGAGGAGGAGGAGAAGGAGGATGAACCGCTGGCGTCCCCCCGCCTCCCGCTGCTGACGACGACGACGCCGCCGCTCAGCTCAGCCTGCTGCGGGCTCAGCGCCGCGCCACCGGCCATGGTGCCCAGCGAGGAGAACCAGCTCGTCCCCAAAGAGGTGAGGCGGAGCGGGGTCGGGGCGGGGGAGACCTCGGGCCGGGCGGCGCG